TCCATCCTGACGCTGCCAATTGGTCCAGTGGTGAGAATCTTTGTCTTCTTGACATTGAGCCTCAATCCATATTGAAGGCTGCAGTCCCTGAATATCCTATGGACTGCCAAATAAATTAGCAGGTATGTCTTGGGGAGAGTGCAGCCAGAGTGCTCCTTGGAGGCATGGCTGGTGAAGCTTCACCTCTCATACTTTGGTCATTTTGCTATGAGAGGTTATTCTTTGGAAAGGAAAACATGCTTGGAAGGGTGAAGGATCAGTAAAATAGATAAAGACCACATTGAGATGGATTGACAATATGCTCAGGTGTATCAGAGATGGTGACGATGGTACAGAATAGGACAAGATTAAGGGCTGTTGTTCATCAGGTTGCTATGAGTCATACTGACTCAATGACACCTGTTTGTGTGTTTATATATTTATGTACAGTCTTTATTTTACAAAGGCTATAAGAATATACTATGCATTATACTTCACGCTATCCTCACAATCTCCAATATGCTTGATTGAGCCCATTGTTACAGTCACTATGCCAATCCATCTTGTTGACTGTCTTCCTCTCTTTGATCCTCTACCTTTCTCTGCATGATGTCCTTTTCCAAGGTCTGGTCCTTCCTGAGAACATATCAAATTATGTCACAGAAAGTTTCATAATCTTTGCAACTAAGCAGTATCCTGCTTGGACATCCTCCAAGACAATTTTGTATGCTCTTTTGGCAGTCCATGGGACATTCAGTACACTTCTCCAGCACCACAATCAAAAGGCAGTAATTCTTCATATGTCATCCATATTCATTTCCACTTTCAGATGCATAGTAAGTAACTGAAAAGATCATGGCACAGATCATGCATATCTTAGTCTTTAAAATGACATCTTTGCTCCCTGGCACTTTGAAGGGATCCTTGACAGTACATTTTCCCAATGAAACACATCTTTGGATTTTCTGACTTCCATTGCCATGGGTGTTGATTGTGGATCCAAATAATTGATAACTTCAATCTTTTCTCCATCGATCATGATGTTGACTATTGGTGCAGTGGTAAGGATTTTTTGATGTTGAGATGTAATCCATGTTAAAGGCTATATATAGTCCTTAATCTACTGCAGCAAGCATTTCAAGTCCTCCTCAGTGAGTAAAGTTGTATCATCCGCATCATATTGTTGTTAAGTCTTCCTCCAAATTTGATGCTAAATTCTTTTACATATAGTTCAGCTCCTAAAATGATTTCCTCATACAAACAACCTTGATGCAGCCTTTCTTAAATTTAAATACTTCCGCATAAAGGGGGAGGGGGGGAAATCCTCACATTTAGTACAATAAGCAGTTTCAGGATAAATGGGGAAAAAACATTGAATTTGTTAAAGATTTCATTTTACTTTGATCCACAATCAAAATTCAAGAAAAGAGCAGTCACAAAATCAAACATAAGGAAAATATGTTGCCAATGATCTCTTTAAAGTGCTAACTATAAGAACTACAATATCACTTTGAGTATGAAAATTTCCTGCCCCAAGCCATGGAACTCACAATCACTTCATAAATGATGAAAAAGTTGAACAAAGCAGAAATCGAAAAAAAGAGAATAGGTGCCCTTAAACTGTAGGATTGATGAAAATGGTAGATGTGTAGATCATGGATTGCCCCAAAAGTCCTGACATGTGCTTTGGAATGCATATAGCCAGAATGCCCCTTAGGAATAAGGATGGTGAAACTGCATCTCACACACTTTGGACAAATTAGAGGCCAGTCCCTAGATAAGGGCATCATACTTGGTAAAGAGGAACAGACAAAAAAAAGAGAAAGAGAGAGAGAAATACCTGAAGAAGATGGACTGAAACTGTGCCTGCAACAATGGGCTGAAGCACAGCAGTAACTGAGGAGATGGTGCAGCGTCAGGCAGTATTTCACTCTGTTGTGTACTGGATCACTAGGACTCAAAGCTATCACACCAGCACCTAACAGTATTAACAATTTTTTGTTAAGCCAATTCTAATCTGTTCTCTCATCTTCCTACTGATTTTTTTTGTATATTGATTTTTTTGTACATTGATTTTTTTT